GAACGGGGATGGACACATGCCCCCCGGATCTGTGTACGGGGTGAGGGGAGGCTCCCACTGCAGGTTTTGCCCCGGGTGCCAAACTTCGTTGCTACAGCACTGAATATTACATATTTCAATGCTGGAGAACAGACCTGCGCTGCTTTGCTCATACTAGCAGTCCTATAAAAGTGTTAAGCCACACGTGCTGAAGTGCTGGCAAGAATGAGGTGCAGTGTCTGAACGATCTTACGCTGAGCTCTGCAGCAGTACAGGGGGGGCAGGGAGGGAGAAGGGGGAGAGACGAGCATGCAACTTCCTGGGTTCCAGAGCTGTGCAGAAACGGCAGCTCCAGCAGCCACGGGGATTAAAACACCACTGGCTGCAGGGGCTCCAATAGCTCTGGCGACAAGTCCTGCGGGCCATCCCATGAAAAGCCCCAGGGGCCGACGACCCACATCCAGAGGCTGACACTGGCCCATGGGCTGTGTGTTTCACACCCCTGCAACAGACCATTACTTGTGTCCTAATGAGCAAGGCTGGGCAGAGGAGAGGTTGGGGCTCTTCATATCGCTTTGTTGTCACTTCATGTCTTTTGTTCTTGAGGAACAGAATAATCATGCCATTTTCTATCTATTTATGTACAGTAAAAGCTCTGTTATCTGGCATCCCCAGGGAATGGGAGATGCCGGATAACAAAATATGCCAGTTAACTGCTACTTCTCCCGCCGCGTCTGGGGTATCCCTCCGCCACATCGCCTCCCCTCCCACGGGCCCTGCAGGATAGAGAGGAGGGCCCCGCACGGCCTGTTATGCCCCCGGGTTGTGAGGGCTCGGCAGCGCAGGCTCCTTTGCCCCAGGCCATGGGGGCTTGGAGAAAGTGCCGCGGTGGGCACTTTCGGTTTTGCTTTATCTTAACTGGCATGCCAGTTAGCGGAGCATGCCGGCTTGTAAGATGCTAGATAGCGCAGCTTTTACTGTATGTATTTTTGGTAGAGTCCTACTGCTGTTTATGAACTCTTCCTTTGTTTTGACTATTTTCAGATAGTAATTGGACTCTTAAAATCCTTGTACCAAGAAATGAAAACTCAAACAGTTCTGCTCACATCAGAAAAAGTGACAGTTAAAAACAGCATTGCCATCACTTCTGCATTTAAAAAGACAGAGAGGGTAGGGAAAGCTATACAGGAATCAGACCCGGTCTCACGGGAAAAGTTTTTGCCATTATTACCATTAGATAGCAGTAACTGTTGCCTATTGTGCAATTCCTGAAACGTAACCCACTGAAGACAGCTTTTGGCCAGGTTTTTCCACAATAGGTATGTCTTCTGGTGATAAAAGGGAGCATTCAAACATTTTTATCATTTCTTTTAAAGAAGTGGGTACTAAAATTCGGAGGACTGAGGAGCTCAAAGTATGATACGACTGACTGCAGGCAGTGAGCACTGCAGACTTTTAAGGAGACCTAGCTAACTGCAAAGAAACATGTGGTTAATCAAGTGTAAGACTCACTCGCTCCTTAGGGTTTTCACATTACTCCTCATGGGATAGAATGGGATAGAAAATGGCCCAATTCCCTTCATAAACCTGGGAAATCTGTTTGATACAAGCTGTTTAAGATGGAAACTATACACGCTGCTGTACTCCCACTTCCACATCCTGCCTCCACAAGCCCCTGGCTTACATGAGGGGGGCATGAAGAACATCAACTTCCTTTTATAATCTGCAGGATTAAAGAGTTTAGTAATGGCTCCTTAGCTAAAACTGCAGCAGGTAAATAAGACTATCAGGGCCACACATTTCTGAAGCAGTCAAAACACAAAACCTGAATTATACATTCCAAAACATATCAGTCTTGGGACTTTAAGAGATCCCAACAGATTTAATATAAGTTTCTTCATAGGTATTAAGGAGCCTGTAACTTCTACAGGTAGGAATTTATGTAGTCTGCAAGTCAGCTGACATTCAATGAACTTAGACCTGCTGCAAAACATACTTGGGAGAACTTGAAAGCTCTGTGAAGAAACTTGCTTTGGTCCAAGTTTCCTGATCAAAAAAGGCAGCTTACAATCCCTTGAAAATAGAGATAATAGATGTGCATGCATGTGTTGTAAACTTTGGGATTGCATGGTACAAACACTGCAAGGAATAGTTTCCTTCAAACTAGCAGACTAAGATGCAACAAGCCAACAACTATCCCAATATGTCTGAAGACTCGCATAATAGTTTTGGTGTTAAATACAAAAAACAAGCTTTTCATAATGAAAATTAGCAAGCCAGAAAATTATGGCAAACAACCAGTATGCACCAGTTTTCTATACTCCTCAATTTGATTGCAACTGCGCTGCCAACAGCAAAAGGAAAAAAAAAAAATCAAATCCTAAATTCTGCAGGAAAAACAATTACTAAACTTACAATTGTCCTATATTCAGTTCATATTTCATGTGCATGGAGGTATTTTATGGGGAAGGAATGTTCTAAACTTACCATATATATGAAAAGAGGCACAATGCTCTGCAATGCTCCCATATATTGTCCAAGAGCTATGTTAAATCGTTCAATATAGAGATCTGGAGGGCTGGCCTGCAAAAAACCATAAAAGGCTGTAAAAATATAACTAGAGACAGAAAGAGAGAGACAGAGAGGTAAAAAGACCACAAGCTACACTTTCAAGTTAAAACTCCTGCAGCTGAAAATGGATTTGACGTTTCATCGAAGGACAACCAAACATTATCTGAAAATTTACATTTCCAATTACAAATCCCGCTAGCAAAAATACCAGCAACAAACAAACAAACACACAAACAAAAAACTTAGCCTACAGTAACCAATTTTCTCATAGCGGTCTGTATCACTGCCTAATATATGACATGTATAGCAATAAGTCTAGGAAGCCTAAAACAAACTAATATACAGCATAACCAAGTCAATTTACTTTGAAAAGTTCTGGCAAAAATAGACCCTGCAATTGGGTTTGTTCCTGCATGAATCCATTTGCAAAAAAAACCAAAAACAAATCCTGGAGACAAATGGTGTCATTAAACTATGGCTCAGCAAACAAAGTGGTTGCAGGTGCACTGTCCTAGCTCTAGGAAGCACCGTGCCACCTTTCCCCCCCCAAAAAAAACCCCCAGAGAAGCACTTTGCTATTTTAAATCTTGCAGAAGGAAGGAAACAAGAAAACAGACCTGGTCAGAGATGTCAGGCTATGCATTTCTGATAAACTTCCTGTGGTGCTTTAAGGAGTGTAGTTTTGCCTGGCCTAAGAGGCACAAATATTGCAGTTTGCTGTGTGAAGAAATGGGAACCTGCCCTCTTTTATATCAGTGCTAAGCCCAGGCAGCTCTTCAGGCTTTTAGTCAGGGAAACGCACAGAATGAAACAGGGGTTAAACCCAATGTAAAGGGAGTAAGAGTTGATTGCCCAAATAGGATGCAGCACTATCTGATGTAAATACCCTGCTGTCATAAATGCCCATGGTGAGATGGTATCAACTCCCCAACTAATACTGTATATGCATTTACTTACTGCAAAAAAAATGCTTGCTTTTCATACAGGTCCTAATTTTCTCTCCTAATATACCTAGTGAATACAAAGAAAGCACTGGTTTTCACAGCAGGCTCCTAATGGCATGTAACAGAAGGAGAGGTTAAAAGGTAAATCTAAAGCCACAATGGAATGAAAGGGGGTTTCAATACATTGTAATCAGTAAGAAGAGATACATGATCAAAATGAACACCTAACAAATTTAGGAGGAAAGTTCTGGATTTAGTTCTCAAGACTGGCCAAGTTACTTTTAGTATCAAATGTACACAATGCAGAAAGGCATGTAAGTTTTGAGCTTTGAGGACTCCTCTCTCATATACATTATACACAAAAAAAATGCATTTGCTACAAATGATATGCCACTAAGTCTCCTCTCCTAAGCAAAAGGTACCTCTGCACCCTCTAAATCAGGAGGGGCCAGCCTGCAACACATATGCCACAAGTGGCACAATCAGTCCCTGTGGGTTGCATGTGGCAGCTCAGACAAAGGGCCGACAGCACAGGGGAGATGAGGCAGAGAGCAGAAAACAGAACAGTTGATCAAGTAAGGGAAGGGAATCAGAGTGGCATGGGGCTTACTATATTTATTTGAATCCAAGGCAAAGTTTTTCCCAAGTAGCCTGGGGGAAAAAAAGAGAGGTCTCACCTTGGATTCAAGTACAAGCACAAGGAAGACAGTGCTCAGGCCCTGGCTTTGGCTCCAGGCTCAGGGCTGAACCTGGAGCTGAAAAGCCACCTGTCCCGAGCTGGAGTGGTTGGCTTGGTGGGGAAGCGTGCACACAGCAGGGAAAGCACAGGGAAAGCCATGGGGAGAGGGCTGGGGCATACAGCCCGCTCCCCCACTCCCTGCCCTTACTTTCTGCTGTAGCTCTGCTCCAGATAGGGGCTCTCAGCAGCAGCAACCCCACCCAACCAAGCCAGGGAGCCGTGGCAGCAGCTCCCAACAGGCCAGACTGGGGTTGAAGGGACCTGGAGCAGAAGATGAGCAGGGAGGGGCAGCTGGATTGGAGGAAGGGATGGGGTGGGGAGCAGGCAGGCAGAGTCATTGGAGCGCACCAATAAAGATTTTTTTGGCCAATACTGATGGTTGATTATTAACCAGCCCACAGCAGATAAGTCTGTCATGGGGAAAAGGGGCTGGAGGGGGTGCAGAGGCCCCCATGGTGAGGGAGGGAGTGGGGCTGGGGCTGCCCAGCCCAGGACGGGTTGCAAGACAAAGCTGCAGGTGACTCGTCACAAATGGTGGGGAGGTATGGGGCTGCTCCTTGGCACTACACGCACCCCTGGGAGAGATATGGAAGGCATCTGCCCCCACCCCGCCGGATTTGTGCGTGGGGTGTGGGCAGATAGTCCACTGCGGGCTCAGGGCCAGAGGCTATACTCCCCTTTCCCCAGCAGAGGCTGGGCCGAGGCAGAGCAGGAGGTGACAGTGCTGGGAAGGGGGGCTGTTTTCCTCTCCCAGTGCCACCACCACGAACCCCCCACCCCCAAAGAAGCCCCAGCCCAAACCCCTGGGCAGGAAGAGGCCAGCACAGCCCCCAGCGGGCCGCAGCGCGGGGGGGGGGGGGGGGGGGGGGGAAGCACATGACCCCCATGCCTCCCACAGGGTACATGCAGCAGCAGGGAGACTCCTGCCCTCCCCACCCCCGGCACCTCACAGATGAGCCGCCTGCGGCTCCACCCCATGCCCTGCCCCTGCCCCACTTCCTCCTCATTCCTGGCCGCATGCATGCAGCATTTATCAGAGCATTACTGGCTACACTAGGCAAAAAATGCCGATTGCCAATAATGTCAATTTTCCTTTTATCGGTGCTGATCCAATATGGACCGATATATCAGCGTACTTCTAACAGACACAGGCACAGAGGGGAAGGCAGGCACATGGCAGAGAACAGGTAGCAGGGGAGCAACTGGAGTAAGGGGTCTGGCCTCTCACACCCCACTGTTGCTTCCCTACAACAGCAGTTGGGGGGACAAATTGAAGATGCCCCCCCAATAATTAGATTCTGTACATCGACAATTATAACAAATTTATCATTTTCCATCTAAAGTATCTAATTATTGGGGGATCATCTTGGATTCAAGTAAATACAGTAGTTTGTGACAAACCTGCCCAAAAGGTTTGCCTTCACTGCTCTAAAACATGCACCCTCCATTTCCCCACCCCAAATAGTCTCCAAAGGATAAGTCCACTTGTGCTACCTGAACAAGTGATTTCTGATTTAAGAGGTGGTGTATAACAACTGAGGAATGTTCTAAAAAGAGACACTTTGAAGGAGTCTCTTTATTTGTTCAACATCTATCTTACGTTAGGCATCTTCCTTCTCACACAAGTAAGCAATTTGCACGTAAGATTTTCTATTAAAAAAATTCTGCAAGGTACTTGTAATATCCTATTCCTTTACATCTGAACACTCTTATTCAATACAGTATAATCTAATCTGCCATTAGTTTCCTGCATAGAAGGTTTTAGTTAGTATTTTCCCTCCAAAATGAACATAACCTAATTCTTGTCTAACAAAGCACTTGCCACTAAACTCTACTGATTAATGACTTGTCCATCTCTAAATGATACTTGGCTCTCTAGAGTCCCTAGGATACCCTAACTTCACAAAACTCAGCAAACCAAAAAATATATAAATTCAGTAACCACTAACTCCTTATAACCAAACAAAACATTATGGGTTGGTTTCCAATCCAAAGAGATGACTCACTGATTTCAGCAGAACTATACATGTGCCTTAAGATGCAAATGTTTAAAGGAATGCTTGTTAAAAAGCTATACTATCAGCCAAATATACCAATTCCCACTGTTAAATAATTAAATGAGTAGATTAACATGTCCATGCTACCTTTCTTCATTGTTTCACATTATACCTATTTACAACGGCCAAAGAATCTAACAGTAGGAAGGACTGAATATCAAATACCATTTCCTTCCGAAGAAAGATCCTTGCAGTTAAAATAACCTGCACTTTTCCTCAAAAGGATTTCCCCCCTGCTTACCAATTAACACAAAAAGCTCCAAACTTACTAGAACAGTATTACTGTAAAGTTTAAAACTATTTCCTCACCTTTGTTGTTCACAATTCCTTAGATGTCTAAATGTAAGTTTATATATTCCACCAAGCTTCTTTCTATACGTTAGACAATATGTTCAGTAGAAGAGTTGCTCGGAACTGTCAGACTTCAATCAATCTGGTTTCAAGGACTCTTTCCACTACAGTATATCTATAGTCACATAAATAGCCCCAGTGACTTCAGTAAGCGTACTTGCATAAATGACTGTATTAGCTTACAAAGTCAGGCAGCAACAATGGACCCAGTACCTACCAGCCTTGACAATGTCTGGTTAATTAGACATCATTAAGATTAACCTAGAGTGACTGAAACAGATTGGCACTTCTTTTTAGAACACCTTTATCATAAAAATAAAGATACGATTCAAGCCAAAATTTCCCATTCTTGGTCTTAGTCCAGAAGCAATTATTGAAGAGATAACAAAAATCCTTTCTGCCACTTATACTGTGGAAAAAAGTAGTGAAGTGTGACAATTACCTTTTTACAACTAGATGAAGTGATTATGAAAGTCTTTAAGCTGCAGTTTTCCTTTAACTAAAGAACTGTAACAGCAGTAACACTGAACAGAAAAGCAGAAGATACCATTCCTAGGGTATATATGAATTAAAACCACCAAAAAAATCTACCACTAAAACTTACTTGGTAACATCATCACAGTCTGCTGTGCAACCACACTGAATTTTGAGTTCCGCAATATTTCCCAAGTTCTTGACAGTCAAGTTAAACTACAGCCTGGATGAAGTAAATGGAAAATTGCTAAAAGGGGACTGCATAAAATGCATGGGTGGATGCTGCTATATTACTGCAAAGAATCCAGCTGCAAACCTACAACGCCCCTGGTCTGCAGAACACGGCAAAGAAGAGAGAGAGAGAGATGGAGTACAGCAAAGTCGAGAAGCAAAATTCAGACAGAGGAAAGAAACAACAG